TGCGCACCCCCACACTGCTCACGCGCACGGTCGCCGGTGTGCAGGACGTAGGTGCACTGACCAAAACCCCCACCCCGCTGGCGTGCAGTGTACCACTCACGGAGCTGCTGAGGGGACACGGTCTCACGACCGCGCTGCTGCTGCTGGCGCGGACCATCACCTGAGCCACTCCTCTGCGTTGACCCGCGACCAGCTCCACCGCCACCTCCGCCGCCTCCGCCGCCTCCGCCACCACCGCCGCCTCCGCTACCACCGCCTCCTCCGCTCCCTCCGCCACTGCCGCCGCCTCTGCCCCCACTGTTGCCACCGGTACCCCCACCTCCTCCACCACTCCCACCACCACTCCCGCTCCCTCCGCCGCCTCCACCAACACCTCCACCGCCCCCGCCAGCTCCTCCAGCGCCCTTACCCCCCTTGCCCTTGCCTGAGCAGCGCTTCCCTGAAGGGGCAGACGCAGCACCGACCGAGTCAAAACCAACGAGGTCGGCCGCAGCAGCAGAAGCAACAGAGGGCAAGAGGGGGGAGGGAGAACACCCCTCGAAGACAGGGGTGCGGGGGTCACCACGAGAGGCTCCTACAGCGACTATGCTCTTCTCCGCCCCTAGGACGGCCTTCTCAAGGAGGTCAATGGTGAGAGTGGTGGGGCACACTGCTAGGAAGTGGTCCCTGACTACCTTAAGGGAGTCAGGGAGGCGAGTGACTAAGAAGTAGAGGGTGATGTACATGGGGGGGGGGGGGGGATTCTTGGCGCAGAAGTCAGCAGGAAGTGTAGCGCGGTAGCGAGCGTCACTAGTGCAGAGGTGCGTAATGAGGTCAGCTACTGTGGGAAAGGCAGCAAGGTCAGGGAAGAGGTACGGCAGCATGAGACGGCTCAGTGCAGTAGTGGCAGGGGAGGAGTAGCGTGCAACGACAGCGTCGTACAAGGTCTGAGCACTCTTGTACTGACTAAAGTGCGCACGCTCGGAGGTAAGGAGGTGGCGACGCACAGCAAGACGTGCAGCAGCGTCGCGCGTGGCCCACTGGGAGCGAACAGTGGCGTCAGCATCAGCAGTAGGGGCAGGGGAAGCGCCAAATGTGAGGTCAAAGAGAGAGAGGCTGTCTGCCCTATCGCACTGTAAGAACAGCTGCAGGTCATCTACCTAGACCTCGAAGTCAATGGCCCGACCCTCAGCGTCAAAAGCAAGGACAATAGGGGTAGCCATGACCACAGTAGAATAGCAGTGCAGACAGTAGGGTGAGGGCAGTGCAGTGAAAGAGGCGATGTGCTTAACGGACGGGGCAGCTCGGGCGGCTCGGCAGCAGGGCGGCTCGGCTGCTGGGTGGCTCGGCTGCCTGGCGGCTCAGCGGCTCGGCGGCAGTGCGGCTCGGCGGCTTGGCGGCTCGGCTGGAGTGCGGCTCGGCTGCCCGGCGGCTCGACTGTACGGCGGCTCGGCTGCTGGGCGGCTCGGCTGCAGGGCGGCTCGGCTGCTCGGCTGTTGGGCGGCTCGGCGGCCGGCTGTCCGGCTGCTCGGTTGCCCGGGCGGCTCGGCGATGCTGCTGTAGGGCGGCGCGGCGGTCGGCTGCTCGGCTGGGTGGGTCGGGTCGGGCAGCTCGGGTGGTGGGCGGCGCTGCAGCAGGTGACGGGGCCGCAGATGAGAGCGGCGGAGCCACCAGTGAGAGCGGCAGGGCCACAGGTAAGAGCGGCGGGCCCGCAGCAGAGGGCGGCGGGGCCGCAGGTGAAATCGGCGGGGCCGCAGGTGAGAGCGGCGGGGCCGGTTGTTGAGGGCGGCGTGGCCGCAGCAGAGGGCGGCGAGGCCGCAGCTGAGAGCGGCGGGGCCGCAGTAGTTGAGGGCGGCGGGGCCGCAGGTGAGAGCAGCGGGGCCGCCGCAGAGGGCGGCGGGGCCGGCAGTTGAGGGCGGCGCGGCCGCAGCAGAGGGCGGCGGGGCCGCAGCAGAGGGCGGCGGGGCCGCAGTTGAGGGTGGCGGAGCCGCAGCAGAGGGCGGCGGGGCCGTAGCTGAGAGCGGCGGGGCCGCAGTAGTTAAGGGCGGCGGGGCCGCAGTTGAGAGCGGCGGGGCCGCAGTAGTTGAGGGCGGCGGGGCCGCAGTTGAGAGCGGCGGGCCGCAGTTGAGGGCGGCGGGGCCATGTAGCGAGACGGCGGGGCAGTGAGAAGGGCGGCGACGGGCTGCTGCTTGGGCGGCGACGTGACCGCTGGTGAAAGGGCGGCGTGACGCGGCCGTTAGGGCTGCGCGACGCGACCGTAAGGGCGGCGCGACGGGCCGCTAAGGGTGACACGACGGGCCGCTAAGGGGACGCGACGGGGCCGCTAAGAAGGGCACGACCCTAGGTGCGCTTCGGGCAGGAAAAAAAAAAGGGATCGGTGGGCCCTAGGAACAGTTCCCACGAGGGAACCTGCTCGATACCATGAGAAAATGTGAACGAGGATGAATGAACTATGAATGAACTGAGTACAAATACTCACCCTAATTGGGTTGTACCCCTTATCGGCTACCCCACTATAGCCTACACAATAAGTACAAGCTATATGTTCTGACAAGAGGTGCTGCTCTTACCGGGCAGGCGAGAAGGACCAAGGCGGCTCGGGCGGCTCGGCTGCTCGGCGGCTCGGCAGCAACAGCAGCTCGGCAGCTCGGCAGCTCGGGCGGTTCCGGCGGCTCGGCTGCTCGGCGGCTCGGCAGCAACAGCAACTCGGCGGCTCGGCGACTCGGCGGCAACGGCAGCTCGGGCGACTGGGCGACAACGGCGGGTCGGGCGGCTCGGCAGCTCGGGCGGCTCGGCTGCTGCAGGGACAGCGGCGGCTGCTGCTCAAGGGACGATAGCGGCCTCTGCTGCAGGGACGGCAGCAACCGCTCGTGCAGGGTCGGCGGTGGCGGCCGCTGCTGCAGGGACGGCGGCGGCCGCTGCTGAAGGGAGGGTGGGGCCGCAGGGTCGCGAGGGTAGGGCGACGGGGCCAGTAAGGGGCGGCGCCGGGGCCGGTAAGAGCGGCGCCGGGGTCGCGAGGGTGGCGCGAAGAGGCTGCGAGGGCGGCTCGAAGAGGCCGCTAGGGAGGCGCAAAGGGGCCGCGAAAGCGGCGCGAAGGGGCCACGAGGGCGATGCAAAGGGGCCGCGAGGGCGGCGCGAAGGTGGGGGCCGCGAGGGCGGTGCGAAGGGGCCGTAAGGGCGGCGTGACGGGGCCGCGAGGGCGGCGCGACGCGACAGGGCCGTAGGGTGGCGCGACGAGGCCGCTAGGGCAACGCGACGGGGCCGCGAGGGCGGCGCGACGCGACGGGGCCGGGAAGGCGGCGCAACGGGGCCGTAAGGGCAGCGCGACGGGGCCGCGAGGGCGGCGCGACGCGACGGGGCCGCAAATGCGGCGCGACGGGGCCGTAAGGGCGGCGCGACGGGGCCACTAGGGGCCGTGAGAGGGGAGCGCAACTTGGGCAGAGGCTGAGGGCGCTCCGGGCAGGAAAAAAAAAAAAAAAAGGAAATGGTGGGCCCTAGGAACAGTTCCCACGAGGGAACCTGCTCGATACCATGTTGAAGTGAACAAGAATGATTGCATTGAGCAGCATGAGGAGTACAAGTACCAAACCCTCAAGTATTGTACCCCATATAAGCTACCCCACTATAGCCTACACAGACTATAGTATATGAGTTTGACATTCAACTGCAGGTAAATCTTGTCGATGTTGTAAGCTTGGAGTTGATTGTTGTTTGCGACAGTAATTTCGCACAGTCGTTGCATGTGCTTGGAGTTACTAATGAATGTCGGTGATACCACCATGTGTTGTCTGCAGCAGCTATCAAGATACCACGTGTTGAAGTGGTCGCGTCTTCGTCGCGCGACAATGGCAATCTTAGGAGTGACGATGCGGTCGACGTCAATACAGTAAGGCGAGATATCATTTTCATGCCTTGCAGGAAAGCTGGGGGGAGACTCCGGCGTGCTCGGAGGTAGCTCGAAATCAGGTGGGATATTGGTCGGCTTGTCGATGTAGGGACTGAGTGTAGGGTCGTTGTTTGGGCTTTGTGTGACTGGGTGGATTGGTGCGATTGGCGGAAATTCAATTTCGTCGTAGTAGCGAATGTGAGAATGAACGAGAATGGCTAGAGTGTAGTAAGCTTAGGAGCCATGGTAGTTTAGGAGTGAGTTAGATGATCGAGTTCGAGTTTGAGGAAAAGTGTCGAGAGGAATGGGGTTTCACTAATGAGAATGGCAAGTACAAATAGGTAAACAACAACATAAGGAGGTGCACCACCAAACATGATGCAATATCTACACTACAACTCCAAACGATTATATCAAATATGTAAACATATTTTGACACGCCCCCATAATTGATTGCAGGAGTAAGTGTAAAACGCCCACTCTAGTAAGTGTAAAACGCCCACGCTGGTCACCCACTCCATCCCCTCACCCTCCCCCTCCCCCTCCCCCCCACACTGCTGAAGGAGCAGCAGAAGGGGGCGAAAGGAGGAGGATGGGAAGGGGAGACCACACACCCGCCACCCCAATGCCACTATCCTGGCTCCCCCACACCCTCACACCCTCCCCCCCTACGGCAGCTGCAGCAGTGGGAACGAAAGAAGGAGGGGAAGGGGAGACCACACACCCGCCACCCCCACACCCGCCACCGTAGCATCGGCCTCCCAGGGCGCCAAAACAGGCGGCAGAAGGGGCGACGCTCCCCCCCCCCCCCCCCCCCCCCCCCCCCCCCCCCAGGTCGCCCCTCCCGTCGCCTGTCGAGGCGACCTGAGGGGGCCGCGTGCGGCCCCCCAGGGAGCCGCAACGGGTGACGGGAAAACGAGGGGGGGGGCGGTGCACGTGCCCCCAGTGCGCCGCGACAGGCGACGGAGCATGGCCGGGGCGGGGCCGGGGCAGGGTCGAGGCAGGGTCGGTGCATAGCAGGGGGAGGGCCGCGATGGGGCCGCGACAGGGTCAGGGCAGGGCCGGGGTCGGGGCAGGTCCGGGACGGGGCCGCGACAGGGTCGGGGCAGGGCCGCGCCGAGGGGCCGCGATAGGGTCAGGGCAGGGCCAGGGTCGGGGCAGGTCCGGGACGGGGCCGCGACAGGGTCGGGGCAGGGCCGAAAGGGGCAGCGACGGGGCCGCAAGGGGCGGCGACGGGGCCGATAGGGGCGGCGACGGGGCCGCAAGGGGCGGCGACGGGGCCGATAGGGGCGGCGACGGGGCCGCCAAGGGGCCGCGAGGGGCAGGAAAGGTTGGCGAAGGGGCCGATAGGGGCGGCGACGGGGCCGCGAAGGGGTCGCGAAGGGCCTAGAAGGGCGGCGACGGGGCCGCGAAGGGGGCCGCGAGGGGCCGTTGAGGGTCTCGCGAGGGGCACGCCACGGGGCGTGCAGTACACAGAGTAGCAGCGGAAGCAATAGGCAAGGAACGTTGGTAGCTCTGATAGCATGTGAGAATGAACGAGAATGGCTAGAGTGTAGTAGGCTTAGGAGCCATGGTAGTTTAGGAGTGAGTTAGGTGATCGAGTTCGAGTTTGAGGAAAAGTGTCGAGAGGAATGGGGTTTCACTAATGAGAATGGCAAGTACAAATAGGTAAAGAGCAACATAAGGAGGTGCACCACCAAACATGATGCAATATCTACACTACAACTGCAAACGATTATATAAAATATGTAAACATATTTTGACAGCGAAAGGCTCTACGGCACACCATGGAGCTCAAGACTTATTCTTTTCCCTTGTCCTTGGATGAGATGCGTGTAGGAGTTTGCAAAGTGCTTGCGACGGAGGGTGGCGACAACGTCTCTGTCGAGTGCTGAGGTTGCTGAGGGTTGTTGACCATGTGAGTTGTTGCCGCATCTTTCGTTAGCAGCTTTGCGCTTGTAGCATCGGTCCATGGTGTGACCTGGTTTCTTGCAGTATTTGCAAAAGACATTGATCCAGGGAAGAACACTCATTTTCCCCGCTTGATGTTCTTCTCATTGTACAGATCGATCTCTTTCTGCTCGGAGAGGAGTGTGGCGCAAAAAACGGACTCGGGGATGGTTGCTCGAGCGCGGAGCAATGAGTGGCATTGATGCCAATTGGGTGCTAGTCTGGAGAGGACCATCGAGACGAACGTGTCGTTAGGGATGGTTCCGCCGCACTTCTTGATGTGGTCGCGCATATTGTGGCACCGATTGATATACGGTCTCTCCCCTCGATGCATTTTGACTGATGTCAGTTGATTGAGCAGGCGCCTCATGGTAACCGAATCTGTTGCCATGTATGAATTGGGCAGGTGCTCCCAAGACACTTGCGGAGGTGCCCACTCCGATTTGTAGAGCGGATGCCAAGCTGCTCGACGGGGGAGAGATTTCGGAGAAGAGCAGTGTATACGAGAAGGTGTTAGAATGGACTAAGCTACTAGCGGAAGCTTTAGTAGTCTTAGAACTTCCTCCTAAAGCCTAGGAACCTTAGGAGCCCACTTGGGCATGAACCATGCTAAAACCAAAGTGGTTTCCAAGAAGTGAAGTTCCAACTAGAAAGAACCCTAACCTTTAGGGTTTGGGAGGTGGTCCACTTAATAGAGTGTACACCACAAGTTCTCCCAACCCAACCAGTGTATTCTACACTACTATAGTGTAGATGTATCACTACATATGTTTATTGGAGCAACCCGAATTAACCTTAATTCCAACACCCCGCCTTGCTCCAATAAACATTGAATTTCACCCATAAATAAAAACACAACCCCTCCAGCGAATGAAGCCTTGGCCTTCGAAGCCATCACTCGCATGCCGATGCGCTCCAGGTTCTTATGCAGCTGCAAGCTTGGAAGAGCTTTGGTGAGCATGTCGGCATCCTGGAGGTGGGAGCGTACTGACTGCACCTCGACCTCCTGCTGGCGCACCGCATCCCATACAAAGTGCCATGCCACCTTAATGTGCTTGGTGCGCTGATGGAGAATGGGATTGTGGGCAAGGGAGACAGCAGCTTCATTATCACAGAGCAATGGAATAGCCCCCCCATCCCCCACATGCATCTCTTCCAACAAACTCCTCAACCAAATGGCCTCCTTGGCCCCCTCCGATTGAGCTTTGTACTCAGCTTCAGAAACGCTTGCTGCAATGCTGTCTTGCTTTTTGTTATACCAGCTGATTGCTCCTCCTCCCAGCTTAAAGTTGTAGGCAGAGCGACTCTTGCCATCAGTCTCACCACCCCAATCCGAGTATGTGTACCCAACAACCTGCTCACCACCTTGGCGCTCATACCTGATGACACGATCAGCTGTGTCGACCAAGTACCTGAGTGCTCTCAGTGCAGCGTGCATGTGAATGCATCTTGGTGCCACGCGGGACTGTGCAAGGGTGTTGACAGTGAAAGATATGTCAGGACGGGTGGTCACAGCAGCATACATCAAGCTGCCAATGAGACTCTGGTACACATTGACATCAGCTGCAACACCTTCCTCAGTCAACCTAGTACCTTTCCTGATCTTAGAGAGATCATTGGGTGACATTGGAGTATGCACCCTATGGGTCTCCTTCAGCAGATCACCAAACCTTCCCTGGAGACCACGGACATACTTCTCCTTACCAATCTCCAACCACCCATCCTTGACCGACCTGCGAACCTCCACACCAAGGTACGTCGATACCTCACCTAGATCCTTCATCTGGTACCTCTGAGCAAGCACCTCCTTGACCTGACGGATCAGCTCCAAGCGTGGAGACACAAGCAAGAGGTCATCCACATACACCAATACATACACTAGCTCTTCATCCACAAACCTGATGTACAGAGCCTCATCACATGCAGTGTGGTCAAACCCTGCTGCAATCAGGGTGGTACCAATCTCCTCATTCCAAGCACGAGGCGCTTGCTTGAGTCCATAGAGACCTTTGCGCAAGTGATACACCCTACCTGTACCATCATCAAATCTCTCAGGTTGCCTCACATACACCTCCTCTTGAATGACTGCATTGAGGTAAGCATGATCAACATCCTCCTGTTGTTCATGCCACCCTTTTACCGTGGCTTCTCCAAGAAGCACCCGGCCTGAGGTGAGCTTGCCCACAGGGGCAAATACCTTATCATGGTCCTTCTCAGGCTCTTCATTGTACCCCTTAGCAACAAGGCGAACCTTGTGCTGTACCACCTTATCCTCCATGTCAGTTTTCCTGTGGAAAACGTACCTGACCCCAATGGCCTTCTTATCTAGAGGTAAGTCGACCGGCTCTGGATCCCATACACCCATAGTGCGCATTGCATTTACCTTCTTCTCAGCGCCTGCCTTCCACGTAGGGCCCTCAGGGCCACTCAGAGCCTCAGCAAGTGTGCGTGGGACATCACCGGTGCTCACACCTGCCAATGCAACACCTTCCACCTCCCTAGCCAAACACAGCATTCCCTCAACCACACCAGCATCCCCCCCTACCTCCTCACCACGTGTACTAGACTGGATACCAGGCACCTGCAAACCCGTAACCGGTGGTGGGGAGGTAGTCGCCGGTGACGTAGGGGCACCCGTAGAGAGAGGGACAGAGCGCTGACCAGAGGAGGAGGAAGGGGAAGTAGCCTGTGTAGCGGATCTCTGCTGAATGACCGAGGGGCCACTTAGCTGCTGCTGCACCGATACAATCAGCGGTGCCGGTGGCAGTGATGAAGGTGGCATCTCAACGTCGTCAGCCGTTGCTGAGGGTGGCGAGAGTGGAAGAGGGAGGAGTTGGGAAATCGCAGCTGCATCCTGCAGAAGCTCCCCAAATCCCTTTGCCTTGTCCCAGTTCTTCCACATCACATTCTCAAGAAAATCAACATCCCGAGCAATGCGAATGCGCATGAGAGAAGGGTCCAGCATGCGCCAACCCTTGCTCTCCATGTCCACCCCAACACAGACACACATGACAGCCCGTGCATCAAGCTTGCCACCCTTCTCATGCCCATGCAGCATGACACTCCTCATGCAACAACAAATCCGAGCCATGCCCACATGCAGCTTCTGGCCGGACCACACCTCCATTGGTGTGATGGAGGCAGGCAAAGCACTGTGGGTGACCCTGTTCTTAACCCACACGACCCACATCAATGCTTCGCCCCACAAGAGAGCAGGGAGACCACTGTCGACCAACAATGTATGAATCCCCTCTGCCATCGTCCTGTGCCACCTCTCCACGACCCCATTCTGCTGCGGTGTATCTGCGACACTCAATTGGGTTTTGATGCCAAACTCCGCTTTCCATGCTTTCACAGTGTCCCCCTAGAACTCGCCACCCCTGTCGAAGCGAACAGCCTTCAGCTTCCGCCCTCACTCCAACTCCACGTCCTTATGCCACTGGCGAAGGACTTTTGCGACTTTGGCCGATTCCTTGTTGGGGAGTGGGAACGACCAAACTCGTCTGGTGAAGTCGTCAATGAGACTGGGGACATACACCGCTCCTCCCAGTGACGGTGTGCGCACTGGCCCCCACAAATCCATGTGGACCTCATCCAAAGGCCCAAGTGCCCGAGACGCCTCGTGAGGAAACGGCTTCCGAGCCGACTTTCCCAATAAGCAAGGCTCACATGGGGAGCAATCAGTGCTCCCCCCCCCCCCCCCCCCCCCGATCTCCAAGCCCAGTATACTGTTCCCCCGAGCCATCTGTTGCAATGTTGTGGGGGCGATGAGCAAGGGTAAATGGGAAAAATGAGGAGGAGGACCGAGCTGCAAGAGCACTGCCTTGTGTGCCCCGAGCAAGAGGAAGAGACATCCGCACCAATCCATGGTCCCTGCCCCTCTCCTTTTCTCCAATCGCCAACACCCTCTCCCCCCGTTTAAGAACACATTTCTTCCCCTTGAATGTGACAATGACATCTCAAGAGGTGAGGTGTGGGACTGACAGCAGACGCGTGTGCATCTCAGGCACAAGGTGGACCTTTTGAATCCTCATCAGCTGACCTCCAGCACCAACCAATGGCACCTCACCCATGCCAATAGCTTTCACCACCCGTCCATCTCCCAATCTAACTCCCCAAACCTCTGGTGGCTGAAGCTTACTTTTGAACTCCGATGCATAAGGAGTAAAGTTGTGGCTGGCCCCACTGTCAATCCACCACCCCTCTCGCAACTGCTCCTCTCCCACTGCTGCAACTGCCTCTCCAACCACTGCCTCTGCCTTATCATCCTGCTCCTCCTCATCCGCCACCTGTGCCTTGCAGTTGGATCCACGACCCCCCCGCTTTAAGAATGTCGGAATGCCTCCCTTAGGTCGATGAGGACATCGCTGCCATGCATGTCCCTCATCCCAACAGCCATGACACAACCCCCGAGGAGCCATGCCCTTGGACCCCCAGGGGAAATCAAGCACTCCCGCTTTGCCTTTTCCTTGATCCCTTCTGCCCGAGTTGGTGCCACTGCTGCTACCGCTGCCTCCATGCTTTCCGCCCTTGTCCCAATTTCCCCTGCCGCTGCTGCCCACTTTCGTACCCTCTCCAAAAGTGGATATACCATCCGATCTTGGTTCGACACCAATCCGCATCTCCTCGCTCCTCAAGGAGGTAAGCAGCTGATCCTTAGTAAGCGATGGTGATTGGTTGTTCAGCACTACCTTCAGCATCTCAAAGTGAGGAGGTAGTCCTTTGCGTACCCTCATTATCCACTCTTCAACCTCCTCCTTCCCTCCTGCAGCCAGGTACTTGGACCTCAAGTCCTCGGCACGCGCCCAGTATGCAGCCACTCCCTCCCCTTCCTTCATCTTCAAGGAAGAGAGTTCCTCAGAGAGTCCCATCCAGTTACACAATCTACGCTGAAGATAGAACTCCTTCACTCGTGCGTATGCCGCTGCTGTGCCTGCAGGAACTCGGGTGACCGCTCTTGCTCCGCCATCAACAGGTGCGTTTCCCAACTCGGTCTTGCCGCCGAACTCCCGTACCAAGCGAATCAACTCATCTGGCACCAAGGCATTGCAAAATTGGGCAAATGCCTTCTGATTTCTCCTCTCCACTTTATCCGTGCGTCACACGATACAGGCCGCTCCTCCGAACCATCAAAGTACCCCCATAGATCGTGTGCCTCTGCCCATTGCTCGAATCGGAAGCTCCAAGTCCAATAGTCGCTCCCGTCGTACTTTGGCGCTCTCTCCAGCTTCCCTTTGCCTGAGTCATGATCCATTTGCGGCAAGAGCACTGAAGATTGACATTGAGGTGGTGGTGGAGGCAACGGCGGTGACGGTGAAGATGATGCAGGCAGATTCACACCCTCTTGGTTATTAGAGCGTAACTCCATGCTCAAACGTCCGAATGATGAGCTGTTTCGCTCAGATGAATCCTTGCTCCAAGACCGTTCCGATGATGTGTCGCGCTCCTGGATCCCGTGCTCGAGCTGGCTGCTTAAACTCGTCGAAGTTGGCCGATTTCCCGTCAACGAAGACTCGACCGTTTCTCCCGATTTTTGGCTTGTTGGATGCGCCCTAGCCTCCTCTGTCGGCGTCTGCCCTCCAATCTTTTTTCTGCGATTTAAATCTTCACCGATTCGCGATTTTCCAATCCGTCCGCCGACTGTATTTCGCGAATTACGTCTGATCTGCTCGTCGGTTGGTAACGACCCCGAGGCAATGCTGTAGATTGTGTCAAGGCCTTTTCAACGTAATGCTGCACGTGTTGATCAGCCAAAGTTGACTGAGCGCCTCCGTGAATGGATATCGCTATTCTCGTCCTCCCGAACGGATCCACATGATTTCCAGCAGTTTTCTTCTCTCCTCCTCCCCTCCCACGTCCACAGTCCGACACGGTGCAATTTCGGCAGCCCTTCGGGAGGGATGGAAGCTATTTAGCTTCCACCAAGGTGTTATGATCAAATTTCTTGAGTAGCTCCTATTCCAACAGATTGCTAGGCTACCTAGCTCTGATACTATGTTACAATAGACTAAGCTACTAGCGGAAGCTTTAGTAGTCTTAGAACTTCCTCCTAAAGCCTAGGAACTTTAGGAGCCCACTTGGGCATGAACCATGCTAGAACCAAAGTGGTTTCCAAGAAGTGAAGTTCCAACAAGAGAGAACCCTAACCTATAGGGTTTGGGAGGTGGTCCACTCTATAGAGTATACACCACAAGTTCCCCCAACCCAACCAATGTATTCTACACTACTATAGTGTAGATATATCACTATATATATTTATTGGAGCAACCCGAATGAACCTTAATTCCAACAGAAGGGACTCGTGGTAGTACTGATTCTTCTCCTGGATGGTTCCTTCCGACGGAAACGGTAAGCTCCCGTCGTAGTACATCCAGATCCGCGCGGTTGTTGCGAGGAGCTCAAACTCGAAGCTCCACGTGTAGAAATCATTGCCTTCAAATTGAGTTGAAGTTTTCAGCTTTGAGGTCAAAGCGAACTTCGTTCGCATGGTTGTGATTGCCTCTGCTTGTGCGCGTTGTTGACTGTCGTGCGCAGGAGCTGAAGCCCGATGGTTGTCACAGGTAAATGATCTCTCCGAGTTGACGCGACGGTCTTCTCCCTGGAGAGGCAGTCCAGCAACTCCTCTTGCGGGGCTTGAGCCGTCAATTCTCATGTCTTGATGGCTCTCAAGGGCGTTTCTGCGAGCGACGGACTACTTAACAAGGGCGGCGCTTACGGAAGTCATTGCTGATGACGCATTAGCAGCCGTTGCTGGTGGTGGGCCCGAAGAGTCTGCAGTATATTTCCCCTCAGGAGCCATAGTGATGCAGACTTGTGTCAGAATCCCAACCACTAGACCATTGGGATAAAAGGGCTTGTTAAGTAGCGGGTCAGTGCGCCCATAACCCCCCAGGCCAACGTGCCTGTAACCCTTCCCTAGGATCAATCGGGGATCACCAGTGGACCTCTGACACCCCCCCGCACTGGGATGCCCGAAGTGCATACACCGGGATTCGAACTCGAGACCTTCGCTCTGATACCATGTCAGAATCCCAACCACTAGACCATTGGGATAAAAGGGCTTGTTTCAGTAGCGGGTCAGTGCGCCCATAACCCCCCAGGCCAACGTGCCTGTAACCCTTCCCTAGGATCAATCAGGGATCACCAGTGGACCTCTGACAACTTGTAACAGGTATTCAATGAGTAATTTTGTAAAGAGTTTTTTTATAGGAAGAACAAGAACTTGGCAGATCTTATCATCCACTCTGGCTCTCATACCATGTTGATACAACTGAGAATCGTAGTGGATACGGTATGATAAGAATTGCTAAGTTGTAGGAAGACAATGAAGCATTGTAGTGACCTTGTTAATAATGGTTGAAAGAGAAAAGGATTATTTTTAGATAGAGGTACAAGTTTATAAATAGCAATCTAGCTAGCCATGTAATATGAGGGGTAGATTCCCTTGTTGCATGTATTGCATTGCTACAATAACCACGACTATTACTCTACTCGACTGTTACCGTCACCCCCCGGATATAAGCGCCATCCTAGGATAAGTGTCTAGCGCTTCTAATTGGCATATGGCGCTTATATCCCCTCCTTGATTATAAGCGCATACCCTAGAGTCTTACGGATCATAGCCGCATACGTTTGCCTCACACATTATAATCGCCCCCCCCCCTTTTTTTTCATTTTGATGATCTTCTAACCTATACAACTAGTTATACTTTCACCTAAATAACTTCATACGGTAATTTATCTACGGTTTCTTGAAATTACAGTAGCACTACCATAGGTCTACCTACAATCCTCACAGGCTACAGCAATTTCTACATCTAATCTCCTCATCAGCTGCGGTGGGGTCATCTGGGTCGGCCTCAGAGTCCGACTCGGGTTCCTCTACATTGTTGCAGAAAAAGCCATCTGCTGCAATGTCATCGTCGATGTCAATTTCGTCGCCTTCGAGGTCGTCGCGCCTGTGTTGCAGGCAGATCTTTGTCCTGGGACCCATCCAGGGCGTTACTGATGCCACAAGTGAGGAAAGCTTGTTGAATCAAGTCCTTGGGCACGGCCTTCCAAGACGCTGATATCCACTTAAGCGTTATCTCGGATGGAGGCTTCTTGATGTTGCCTGCCATGAAACTAAACAATCAAAGTCAGCCAGGTCTACAAAGCAATAAAACAACACACGCATGGCCTGCTTGTCTCACCTTTCTTTGTCAAGGTGTTGACCCACTCGCTCTCGAACCACTCCTGGTAGAGCTGGCGAACGGCTGC